CATAAACAGGACTTTAAAATACAAAGACATGAAATGATTAACTGCCAAAAGTCAACATTTATCAAACAATATTCCAAAATAAGAACTAATTAAGTATCAAAATAGAATATGTAAAGGCAGTATAGTATTAGGAATTTTAAGAGAGTTCACCATAAAAATTCACAAGGTGACCTAACAAAGCAATGCATGCTACCATAGCTTCGAGTTGTCTTTGTGTGTGTACATACACACACACTAAAATGACAAAGAAACTGATAAATCTTGGAAGGTATTAACAATACTCAACTAACCAACAAAACCAAGTAAAGAGATGCAAGTTATGAAAGATCCTATTAAGAAGCTTAATTTAATAGATACAGTGTGTTAGATGAAATGAAACAGCAAATTTAGATTCATATTACATATTTTTTCATATACGAACTCTAGATATGTGCATGTGCATACATATATACATACACATACCTATTACCTAAAATATACATATTATATAAAAGTTGAAAGCACCTTATCAGGAAAAAAGGGATTAAAACAGGTAAATTGAGAAAGTAATGGGGAAAAGGGAAAATATTGTGTATTTTTTCTCGTATGTGGAACTGCATTTTAACCATACACGTAATACATGAGAAGAGAAGAGGGCTATTGTGGGGATGAAAGCAAATTAGCAGGAAGGGGAAGGGGAATAGAGGCTATCGGGAGAGAATATGAGTACTGCGTAATGATGTACAATGTATGTAAATGATATAATTAAACCTAGCTGTATACTAGCAAAAAAAAAATTTAAAGAAAATTTAAAATTTAAAAATTTAAAGAAAAAAATTACATAGACAATAAGACCCAATAGTTTGAGAATGCACATCTTCAACAATATTAAACATAAGAAAATCTATCATTTACTGGTCTACAAACTAAATCTGAAATACCAACACAAAAACCTTACCAAACCACAGAAAGAAAATTAAAGGCCAAGTTCACTCATTAACAAAGAACAAAAACATTAAGCATAAATAGACTGGCAATATATTATATGTCTCAAAATCATGAGTTTATGTTAAGAATCCAAAAATAAAACACCTTTAATCCCAGCACTTGAAAAGCAGAGGCAGGCAGATCTCTGAGAGATTGAGGCCAGCCTGGTCTACATAGCAAGTTCCTAACTAGCTGGGGCTACAGTTAAGACCTTGTCTCAAAAAGACCAAAAAAAATCCTTAAAAATATTTATGTATTTTGGGGCTGGAGAGACGGCTCAGTGGTTAAGAGAACTGACTGCTCTTGCAGAGAGCTGTTCTTAACCGCTGAGACATCTCTCCAGCCCAACAATTAACTATTAACAGAAGGCCATTTGCTCATTTTGTGTTCATTCTGTCCCCAATGCTGTGCATGCCATGAACAATTGAAGATAAAAAGTTCACATCCTCTAGGAATACAGTCTTAAGAAAGATGAGTAAACATGATTACATTGGTGGTGAAGCATCAATAAGGGTCAACTAGTAGTAATTCGTAGGAAATGCTCCTTGTAAGATTGTTTTGCCAAGACCTTAGTTTAGATAAAGACAAAATAAATCAGACTTCAATTAAATTCAACAATAAGATCAGTTATAGCTATACTTGTGCAGCAAGAAGGGGGAACAGCATGCACCAATGAGGCAGCCTGTCCTAGTTTGTTTCTCCATTGCTGTGACAAAACACGCTGACCACTACCAACTTGGGGAAGAAAGGGTTTACTTGTCTTACATCTCCCAGGTAACAGTTCATCAGGGAGCCCAAGGTAGGAACTCAGAGCAGGAACCTGGAGTCAGGAGCTGGAGCATAGACCATGGAGGAACACTGCTTACTGGCTTTCTTTCCTGGCCTCTGCTCAGCCTGCTTTCTTATGCAACACAGGCCTACCTGCCCAGGGGTGGCACCACCCACAGTGGGCTGGGCCCTCCCACATCACTCATCAAGAAGATGACCCTCAGACATGGGCACAGGCTCCCTCAACCCAGGTGTGCCAAGTTGACACTAAAGCTATCCAACACACAGCCCTTAATTATTTATCTACTAATTTTTCATTCCTGTAATTAACCTAATACCTACATGAATAAATGTCACAACAAGTACATATGGCTTCAATTAAAATTTTAAAAGTGAGTTTTGCCATTGTTTACTGGTAAATTCAGCTTATTTAATTATCCAAGGACAGAAGTCAAAATCATTGTGCTGTTTTATCACATTCAATCTTCTTATACAATACAATGAGAGTTTTGCATTGTATACAAGGGAAGATGTGTTTCAAGTTTTAGTTTAAGTTATTTATGGAAAACAGGTCTGAGTCCATGTCATTTTCCTCTTGTATGTTTCAAGAGGAAAAACAGCCTGGATTACACATAGATGAACCAAGAGAAGTAATCACAGCTAGATGATATGGTTCAAGCTAAACCTTCTCCCTTCATGTAACAAACTGAAGGGTAGTTCATTTGTATTAGGTACAAAACTTAATTATACTGAGACATTATTTTTGAGATGTGCTGTGAAATACTGTCCTCTAGACTCCACTTAGGTATGAAACTTAATTACACTGAGACATTATTTTTGAGACGTGCTGTGAAATACTGTTCTCTAGACTCCAGTTGGCGGTTGCACACATGAACTGAAAGCAGTTGCAGTTACCTGTATAAGACCAAGGCACTTGAACATTTTAGCAGGACTGGCTAGAGGCTACCCAGGCCCCATCCCCAGCTAAGGCACTACTGGCAGCTGATGGCTCTTGGGATTGGGAGAGTCACTTTTCTCTAGAGGAGTGGCCACTAATAGGCTGCTCATGCCTAAGTGGCCATAGGTGACATCACACACACACACACACACACACGGGCAGCACTAATTGGACTCAATGGGATAAAAAGAAATTTTAATAAAAAAAATGAATACACACACAAAGACAAAAAAGATATAATTTTCAATGAAAGACTATTAGTAACCAGTTAATCTGTTACTGGGAATCAAGCTGGGCCGGCTATACAGAGCAAAAATAATCTGTACCTCAGAACAGGAAACAAAATCTTTCAGAGCGATTAACTTACCAATCCTTCCAAATGTTCTGGGAAAAGAGAGAACCATTTACAAGCTAGTCACATACCTCACATTTCAGAGTATATTCAATACAACAATTTGGTAGGTATTACCATTTCCTTTTACTTTCAAAATACCTTTAGAAGTCTGGCAAGGCAGTTAGTATTATTTTAAGAATGAGTAGACTTTAAGTGACAGAGGTTTCTTAAAAGTAGAAAAAAACTGATCTTCTGGGGCTGGAGAGATGACTCAGTGATTAAGAGCATTAACTGCTCTTGCAGAGGACCTGGGTTCAATTCCCAACACCCACACGGCAGTTAACAACAGTTTGTAACTCCAGTTCCAGAGGCTCTGACACCCTCTTCTGATCTCCTTGGGCCCTGCACAACATGGGTGCACTTAGTCATACAGGCAATACAGTCTATATATATATATATATATATATATATATATATATAAATTTTTTAAAAATATTTTTTTTTTTTTTTTTGTTTTTTTTTTTTTTTTTTTTTTTTTTTTTTTTTTTTTTTTTTTTTTTTTTTTTCCGCGATCCCCTGGAACTGGAGTTACGGACAGTTGTTAGCTGTCATGTGGGTGCGGGGATTCAAACCCAGGTCTTCTGCAAGAACAACCAGTGTTCTTAACCTCTGAGCCATCTCTCCAGCCCAAAATAAACATTTTTAAAAAACTGATCTGACTCAGTCCAATGCTCTGCCTTTTATATTAATACTAAAACTAAAGCTCATTTATTAGTCTTTAAAAAGTGTAGTGAAAGCTGGGCATCTAATTCTTTTCATGACATAAGCTTATCCGTTCCCTTCCTCAAAGTTTATTTTTATTTTGGCTTATTTTGGTCAGTGCATCACAAGAAAAGTTAGCAATACCTTCTAGTAACATTAAATTTAATTCATCAAATGTCTGCCCATAGTCCAGGCTTATAAACTAATGAAGCCAAAAAAGCCTTAACATGAGCTACCAAACAATTATTATTACCCTCATTTTTTTGTTTATTTTTTGAGACTGGATTTCAGTAGTAGCCTCTGCTGGCCTGAAACTCACTATGTAGACCAGGCTGGCCTCGAGCTCACCGAGACATGCGTGCCTCTGCCTCGAAAGTGCTGGAATTAAAGGTGTGCTCCACGCCTGGCATTTTATCTTTTTTCCACATTGCAGTGGGAGAGCATTAAATTATTCCATTTTCTGTAATGCCAACATCTGGAAGAATAAAGAATTACAGCAACATGGAGCTGCTGTGATGGAATTTTAGTAGTGAAAAACAGTTTCTTGTTTCCCCAGTTCACGACATCAGTTTGGTTCTCAGGCCCCATGTAATTTCTCAAGAGGCAGCCACACGTATGGCTGATGAGTGTTAAGGTTTCAGGGCCAGGAGTTTCCTCCCATGCTAAATCGGCTGGCAGCTTAAACAGAAAGCCAGCGCTCAGCTCCGCGGGCTGGGAGGGCTAGTACCAGTCACCTCCATTTAGAAAAGCTCAGTTGGCCAGAAGCTGCTGGTCCACATCTCTGGCGCTCAGAGCCTCCCAGAAGCTGCAGGTCCACCAGTCCTGCGCTCAGAGCCTCCACCCGGAACCTTCGTAAACTCCCGCGCCCCGCCTCCGCCTCGGCTCTCGGACCATTTCCTATCAATTCCAAATGGCGCAAAATTCACTACTGTGACAGGTGACACAGTCTCCAACGAGGTTACAAGCTCAATCACCTGAAAGCAGTCCAGCGACTCCTCTGACCCTTCCCATTCTAGGATGGCGGCAGCTGCAAGAGAGGGGGCGGGGGAAGCAAAAACCCCTGGCAGCAGGAGCCTAGCAACTGTCGCCAGCGCGCCCTCCGCCCACGCGCCAGCGAAAGGTCAAAGCGCTGGGCGCCTCCTAGGAACCCCCCGCCCTCGCCCTTCCCGGCTTCCTAGGCCCTAGCGGCACTTTTGTAGACCGAAAGGATACTCTCCATGTTCGACATGGTCCCACGATTTCACGGGGGTCGCTGACACCCGGGCGGAAGTAGGGGCAGGGCCACCAGCGGTAGGCAGGGCGCGCTGAAGACGCGTGTAGGGCGCGCAGAAGGCGGCGGTCCCGCGTCGCTGCCGGCTGGCCCCCGGGGTGCGAGCCCACTTCCTGTTTGGGTCCCGTGCCTGTGGTGGGCGGAGCCAGGCAAGTTAGTGGGACGGACTGGACCAACGCCAAAATGGCTGCTGCGGGGTGCAGCTGTTAGGATGCGCTCTGGTCGCTGGGGGGCGGTGGCGGTCTGAGAGCACGAGTTTTCGTTTCTCCTCTTCAGATGTTTCACGTGCGCACGGGATAACTGCACCTAACCTGGTCGCGCATCCCAGCAAGCTTCTAGTTCTTTCCATCGTCAACTCCGGACTCCGCTTAACCTGCCCCTCCTCTTCCCTCAGGTTTTACACTGTCCTTGGCTCCCCAGACCCCTTTTTACAGAGCTTACTCTTAAAGGATCAAGACACAGGTATAGGACTTTTAAAGTACTTTTAAAAAGTTATAGCAGTGTAAAATAATGGTTTGAGGGGTTAGTGTGGTTGGAATGTTGAGGTTTTAAAAAGCGTTCGAGTGTTAGGCTAAGAAGGAGAAGGGAGAAAACAGGCAGTTTTTCTGAGGTAATGTTGCTACGAAATACTGATACTAATTCGGTTATTTTAATTTTCTTTAGCATAGACAGTGAGTGATATAAAATTTAATATAATTAATATCCAATCTCTAAAACGGGCGTGAGTAGTTTAAGTAGCCTTTGCCCGCCGTTTTCATGTGTGACTTACTAAAATGTGCAAAGTTGAATTTTTTAGACTTCGACTCTGGACTTAGGAAGGGAAGGGATCTTAGGCATTATTGGGAGCTTCATTTTCAGTATCACAGAAATTACAAGCATGCACTAAGATATTACTTGGAAAATTTGTATAATTGCCATACAGTGGTCTTAATTGTTTTCTTTTTTAAAAATATTTTACTTATTTTTATTTTATGTGTTTGAGTGTATTGCCTGCATGTATGTGAGTGCACCCATGTCGTGCAATGGAACAGAGGTCAGAAGAGAGCATCGGATTCCCCTGGAACTGGAGTTAAGGACAGTTCATAGCCACCATGTGGGTGCTGGGAATCAAACCCAGGTCCTCTGCAAGAGCAGTCAGTGCTCTTAACAGCTGAGCCATCTCTTCAGCCCTTTGTTTTCTTAAGTGCTGAATACATACAAAATATAATTTTAAAAATATATGTACCTTTTTGTTGTACAACATAGTATATACTCATTTGTTACCTGTCACACACAATTTAGGAAAACAAAAACCCTTACCATTTTTCTATAAACTCACTTGCGTGCACTTTTCTAGCCACATTCCCTCTCTTTTCATAGCCTGTGTTCTGCATTGATGCATAATATCCCTATTTTTTATACTTACCTTCTAGTATTTGCATTTTTAAGTAGTGTGTTACTCAGAGTTGTCTGCATTAGAACATTCTCCTATAAATGAAACCATACTGCATCTTGCTTCTGTCTTGCTTTGTAGCTTATCATAAAGTTCCTTGGTTGTGTTACATAACAATGATGTAATTTCTTTCCCCACTCTAAAGGTATTTCACTCTATGCATATGCCATAATTTATCCATTTTCCTGATGATAGACATTTGGGTTGTTTTTAGGTTAATATAGCATCTAGGAATATTTGTGTTCATTTAAAACAGACTATGATGAAGGGTAACTTTTTAAATGCCTAGTTGTGTTTGCAAAAATGTAGATCTACACTCTAAACTTAGGCACAATTATTCTCTTATTGTTTGTTGTATTCATGTTTCCTAGTGTTTTGAGTTATCTTGGGTTTTGCCTTTGTTTCTTTCCTTTCTGCTAGATGTATAGTGTGTTGCACTGTAATTTCTATAAATTTTCTGGGATGATGAAGATGTAAAGATGAGTTGGTATTGTATCTTAAGATAATTCAGTAACTATTGCATGTGTTAAAATTTGGGCTAAACAAAAATAATGTGGGATATTATAATAAATTCCTTGGGAAATTGGGCTGTTTGCATAATTAATCGTGCTTAGTTCCACCAATCTACTCTGCTACAACAAATGAACATAATTAAAAAATTTATAAACTCTTTAGAATCTAAACTACTATTTGTGTTGACTACTTCAACTCAAACATATTGAGTGACAATATGTTTGTGTGACTTTTTAGCAAATGATTTTGAAGTAGAAAATTTAATGTTTTATGGGATCTAAACTCCATTGAAGTAAAAAGAAAGGAATGTACCAGAAATAAGAATGTTGTCATTTTACATAGTATTTCTCAAATTTTACCATCTTTGTTAAAATTAGAGTTGGATAACCCTCACTTCTAAACATTCTGATAGAGTAAATTTGGAGGTGGAGCCAAGAATCTGTCTTTTGCTTCTGTTTACAAAGTAGGAATGAATATTCTCATAGAATCATATAGATCCTTTATTGAATTCAGTAGCTACATTTCAATTAACAGTTTACAAAGCATCTCACCTTATATTATTTTTTTGGAGGGGGTTGGTCTTTTTGAAACAGGGTCTCTCTGTAGCCCCAGCTGGCCTGGAACTCACTATATAGACCAGGCTGGCCTTGAACTCAGAGAGATCCACTTGCCTCTGCCTCCCAAGTGCTGGGACTACAGGTGCACGCCACCATGCCTGGCATATTATTTCAAATGATAGTTAGTATTCTGTAGTAACCTGGGAAGATATTATCATCTTCTTTGCCAATAATAAAACAATGTCAAAACAGCAGCCACTATGAAAAAACAAAACTCAAGAGAGACAATTTGCTCAAATAAGTTTTGAACAAATAGAGTTGATATTACCCAGGTCTTCTAGGTTTCCAGTCCATTACCTTTGAATTTGTACAGCAGGTTAGCAAGGAAGAATCACGAGTAAGACCACTTTTGATGTTTCCTTTCCATACCCATTTACTGTAAGAGTAAAATGAAAAATTATTCCAGTTGGATTGCAGTCTTTCTGTTTCTCCACAGAGAAGTAGGTTGAATTTCTGAGAAATTTTAGGGAAGTATAAACTGAGATCTTTCCTATTCATAATAGAAAAACTTTTTGTTCTGCCATTTCAGATTTGATTTGCAAATTGTACTAGCAAAGAATGATTCAAGTTATTGATGAAAGAGATTACAGCTACTGAAGAGAGATAAAAGTATATTTGCTAAATCAAATAAAAGACAAAATGAGAAACAGTAGTTTAAAAACAGGATGAAGAGCCAGGCATAGTGGCATACACCTATAAACTCTGCGCTCAGGAGGCAGAGACAAGAGAATTGCTTCAAGTTCGAGGTCAGCCTGGTCTATATAGAAAGCTCAGGCCAGCCAGGGCTATAAAGGAAAACTTTAAAAAATTTTCCCACATACATACATACATATATACATACATACATACATACATACATGCATACATACAGTAAAATAAATAAAAGAATGAGTTTGACTGGTACATCCAAAACCTGAAAAGTTATTTCAGTTTATGATTAGGAAATGAGAAATGAATACAAGAGATAAGATGATAAACATTTATCATTTAGAAAAATATATTTAGATATTCTTTATGTGTTAGGAATACATTTTATTTAAATAATGAATGCAGATACCTGATGATTATATCTATGTGTTATTAGAATGAGTATTTCTTTAGGAATCTTTGATTTTAACGGGGCAATCAAGACTTGAAAATTTTCCTTTGTCCGGAAACCTTTTGAATACTTGAATACTCAAAGTAAAATTGCATTTTATCACTGAAAATTTTGATTGATTCTTAAAGGATTATATGATAAGAAAGAATATAGCATTTTCTGTTATTAGAGATACTTTCTACTTCGTAATGATTTCATGTTAATTTTGGAAATTACATGATTTAGAAATTCTTTAATATATGCATAAATACTCAGAAAAAGACCATTATTAAAAAACCATTTTCTTTTCTTTATTATTTTATCATGCAGGAGCTGTTTGAAGGAAATTACTAAGGGAAGAAGCAAAACTGGGAGACATTTATGAGAAGCACAGATGTGAACAAAGTAAGGAACAGATAACCCTATAAAAACCCTACCATTTTATATTCCTGTATCCTGTTTTACTGGCCACTAATCCTGAACATTTATTTACAGATAATGAGTTCATTTACTACTTTCTTACAACCATACTTTTCCTCACCCTAGATCAGTTCTGCAGTTTTATGTCAGAATCTTATTAAAGTCATTCTTATGATTCTTACACATTGTCTAGTAAAATGATTATAGCAAAGCCTAGCATTCTTTGTAAACTTTTTGAGTCCTCTGTATTTTGTTACACACATTCTATGTTTTGGAATATTATTTTCCTGCAGTGTGGTCCTCAAATTTTGCCTCTAGGTCAAGGTTTCTCAAATGGTGCTATAGGCATTTGGGGCTAGGCAGTTCTTTTGGGGATGGGGCTATCTTACGCAGCGTAGGGTGTTCAGCACCATCTCTGCCTAGTAAGCACCCTTCTCTCCACATTATGGTAACCCGGTGTGCTTCCAGACATCACCAAATATTTTCCAGAGGACAAAATCATTCCAAGTTAAGAACTGCTTAATCTTACAACCAAGCAGCATCTACATCTCTGTTAAACCCTCAAGACTGACAACAGAAATAACAACATAAACATCTTTCATCCTATTTTTGCTCAAAGAAACCAATATCACCCTTAACTTTTGAAATACTGTACTACAGTTGGTAAAATTAGAGTTCAAGAAATAGATTTTGTGTGTGTGTGTGTGTGTGTGTGTGTGTAGTGATGTGTGTGCAAATGTGTGTGCAGGTGTACATGTGGAGGCCTAAACTTGTCTCCGGGTGGCCTCCTCATTGTTTTCCACTTTATTGGGACGGAGTCTCTTGCTGAACCCAGCTGTGCTGCAATTATAGTTCATCCGGGTAGCCAGCCAGCTTTCCCCAGAGATCCTCTTGTCTTTACTTCCTGAGTATTGGGATTATAGGCAGGTACCACGCCTACTGGGCTTTCATTTGGGTACTTCAGACCCTAACTGCAGTCACCATGCTTGCATAGTGAGCACATTATCCACTGAGGCATCTTTCCAGTCATAGGAAGACATTTTTAAGTTACCCAACTTTTATTTTTACTTTGGA